CTTTTAAAAGCAGGAAACAAAACCTGGGAAACTTTTTTTCTTTCTTTATTCTTAATTATTGACTCATTTCTCATTTGTAAATGGAAATTCCTGATTGGTTTTTGTGTTGTTTTTTTTTTGTTTTTAATTTAATTTTGTTGTTGTTGGTTTATGTTGTGGTTCTAATATTAATGTTCACAGGTTGTTGTCAAAATGAGAAATCATTCATATTTAAAAGGAAAACAAAAAACATCTTCATGTTTTTTTTATTAATCAATGAAGGCTGGAGAAGAAAAGGTGAAACTGGAACTTATTTATCGTGTATCTTTATAACATTACTCATTACATTTATTTATTCATTTATTAATTTATTTATTTATCTATTTATTTATTGTGTTTTTATGGTATCATTTATTAGATTTAGTTTTTTAGTCTGTATCTTTATTACATTATTTACTTATTTATTTATTCTGTATCTTTATTACATTATTTACTTATTTATTTATTTATTTATTTTGTATATTTATTACATTACTTACTTATTTATTTATTTATTCTGTATCTTTATTACTTCATTTATTTTTTTCATTTATTTATTTATTCTGTATCTTTATTATATTACTTACTTATTTATTTATTTATTTCTTCATTCTGTATCTTTATTACTTCATTTATTTTTTTCATTTACTTATTTATTTATTTATCTATTTATTTGTTGTGTTTTTAGTACATCATTTATTAGATTTAGTTGTTTATTCTGTATCTTTATTACATTATTTACTTATTTATTTATTTATTCTGTATCTTTATTACATTATTTACTTATTTATTCTGTATCTTTATTACATTACCTACTTATTTATTTATTTATTTATTTATTTATTTATTTATTTATTTATTTATTTATTCATTTATTGTGTATCTTTATGTATGACATTGTTTATTCCATCTATGTGATTAAAGGTGTATCTTCCCCCAGATGTGGCGCCTGTCAGCATCTGGACTCACCACCAGGGGGAGCTCCTCACCTGCATCCCGACCAGAGCAGAAACAGATGGGCTCCAGCTGGAGCCCCAAAAGGATCCAAGCTGAAGATGAACAGAGAGGAGTGTATTTGATCTACATCAGTTTAAAATACAATCATATCAAATTAGGAAAAAAGTAATTAAGAACAATAAATACAGTGGAATAAAAAAAGTAGGAGCAGTTATATAAAAACATAATAAATTAAAAGTGAAAACGATATTGCATCAG